TTAGACTTTTATTATATGCATATTCTTACCGTCTAAATCCTATGTAACTGGGTTATATTTACTTATATTTCCTTGCAGACAAGCTTTTATATGACCTGAAAGGAAACGAAAAAAGAGGATAGTCAAAGAGCACACTGCACCGGGGACTGGAAGTAGATATCAAAAGGATGTAAAGAAACTGGAAACAACTGGTAAGGATTGGTCAGGACAGAGTTCGATGGAGGTTGTTGGTGTGTGGCCTATGCTCCTGCACGATAGGTAAAAGGCATTGATAAGTTTCATTTGCCCCTGTGACTACTGTTAGACGATCTACTATTTCTAAGTTGTGCCTAATCTATAAGTTGCAGTCTCTCACACTCACAGCCACTTTTAGAAAAATCCTGTATAATTTTTATTCTTAATTTTATGGTGTGATACAGTTTGATTCGCTTGTATGTAAACCGCGTACTTGAAATACACAGTTCATTCAGTGGAAGGTGGGATTGTGTCAACATCTGAGGGGAAGCATGGGATATAGTAGACAGCTTAGATGCAGCTGAACGATCTAGACTTTGCAGATGATCTGGCCCTTCTATCGCACACGCAACAACAAATGCAGGAGAAAACGACCAATGTAGCAGTGTCCTCAGCAGCAGTAGATCTCAATACACATAAAGGGAAAAGCAAAATTCTCCGATGCAACACAGCCTGCAACAATCGAATCACACTTGATAGAGAAGATTTGGAAGGTGTAAAAACCTTTACATATTTGGGCAGCATCATTGGTGAACACAATGGATCTGATGCAGCATATTTGCAACTGAAGAACATCTGGAACTCGAAGCAATTGTCAACCAACACCAAAGTCAGAATTTTCAATACAAATGTCAAGACAGTTCTACTGTATGGGGCGGAAACCTGGAGGACTACGAAGGCCATCATCCAGAAGATACAGGTGTTTATTAACGGTTGTCTACGCAAAATACTTCGGATCCGTTGGCCGAACACTATTAGGGACAACCAACTGTGGGAAAGAACAAACTAGATCCCAGTGGAGGAAGAAATCAGGAAGAAGCGCTGGAAGTGGATAGGACACACATTGAGGAAAGCACCCAACTGCGTCACAAGGCAACCTCTCACATGGAAACCCGAAGGCCAAAGGTGGAGAGGAAGACCAAAGAACACATTACGCCGGAAAATGGAGATAGACATGAGAAAAATGAACAAGAACTGGAAGGGAAGGCCCAAGACAGAGTGAGTTTGAGAATGCTGGTCGGTGGCCTATGCTCCATTGGGAGTAACAGGCGTAAGCAAGTAAGTAAGAGATTGTGTTCTGAACTTAAAAGATAGAGCAAGAAAACGACAACCAATAAAGACCCAGAGTTGACTCTAGGCTGCTTGTACTGGTGTGTGACTGGATTAGTGCATGCTGTGTTGTATCGGAGAATCTTGGTTTTTCCTTTGTGTATATTGAGACCTACTGCTGCTGAGGCTGCTGCCACACTGTTCGTCTTCCCTGCATTTGTTGTTGCGTTTGGGATAGAAGGGCCAGATCATCTGCGAAGTCTAGATCGTCTAACTGCATCCTAGATGTCCACTGTATCCTGCGTTTCCCTTCAGTTGTTGACGTCTTCATGATCCAGTCGATAACCAGGAGAAAGAGAAAGGGTGAGAGTAAGCAACCTTGCCTGACACCGGTCTTCACTTCGAACGACTTTGTCAACTGTCCTCCATGCACGATTTTGCAATGTTATCCATCATATGAACTCTGTATGATATTGACTATCTTCTGAGGCACGCCGTAGTGTCGAAGTTTCCATAGTGTTGTTCTGTCCACGCTATCAAATGCCTTTTCGTAGTCAATGAAGTTGATGTAGAGTGATGAATTCCATTCAATTGATTGTTCCACAATGATCCGTAGAGTTGCGATTTGGTCTGTACACGATCTATCCTTACGGAATCCTGCCTGTTGGTCACGAAGTTGGGCGTCTACGCAGTCCTTCATCCTGTTTAACAATACCCTGTTGAAGACTTTTCCCGGTATTGAGAGAAGAGTGATGCCCCTGTAGTTATCACACTTGCTGAGATCGCCTTTCTTCGGTATTTTGACCAGAAGTCCTTCTTTCCAGTCTGTTGGTACTTGTTCCTCATCCCAAATTTTATTGAAGAGAATGTGGAGTATCCTTGCAGTTGCCGCTACGTCTGCTTTTAGTGCCTCTGCTGGGATGTTGTCCGGTCCTGCTGCTTTGCCACTCTTGATTTGTCTGATGGCCATGCTGATTTCTTCAATTGTTGGTGGGCCAACATTGATTGGGAGGTCCGTGGGTGCTGCTTCGATGTTGGGTGGGTTCAGTGGAGCTGGTCGATTCAAGAGTTCTTTGAAGTGTTCTACCCACCTGTTTTGTTGCTCTTCAATGTTGGTGATTACCTCGCCTTCCTTGCTTTTCACTGGTCGTTCTGGTTTGCGGCGATTTCCAGAGAGTTTCTTTGTCGTGTCATACAGTTGTCTCATGTTTCCTTCTCTTGCAGCCTTTTCCGCCGTCGTTGCTAAATCTTCCACATATTTACGTTTGTCGGTTCTGATGCTCCTCTTCACTTGTTTGTTTACTTCTGTGTATTCAGCTTGTGCCTTGGCTTTTTCTGCTCTTGTTCGACTGGTATTGATTGCTGCCTTCTTGTTCCTCCTTTCTTGAATCTTATCCAGTGTATCAACAGTGATCCATTCCTTGTGATGGTGCTTCTTGTGACCCAGGACCTCATGACATGTTGAAGTGATTGCCTCTTTGATCCCCTTCCAGTTGCTCTCCACAGTAGTTCCTTCTCCATTGAGTAGATCATGAAAGGCCTGGAACTTGTTGCTGAGGACTATCTTGAATTTGTTGAGTTTGTTAGTATCCTGAAGAAAGGCCGTATTGAACTTTTGTGATATTGTCCGCCCCGTTGTCCAGTGCTTCTTGAGTTTCAATTTCATCTTGGCGACCAGCAAGTGATGATCTGATGCTATATCAGCTCCTCTCTTGGTTCTCACGTCTTCTATAGTCCTCCTGAACGTTTTGTTGATGCAAATATGGTCGATTTGGTTTTGTGTAGTGTGATCCGGTGAAGTCCATGTGGTTTTGTGTATGCGTTTATGTGGGAATATGGTGCCGCCTATGACCAGTTTATTGAAGGCACATAGGTTTGCAAATCTCTCACCATTTTCGTTCCCTTCTCCCAGTCCGTGTCGTCCCATGATGTCTTCATATCCAGTGTTGTCCGTTCCAACCTTGGCGTTGAAATCTCCCATCAGAATGGTCAGGTCCTTTGTTGGGCACTTCTCGACGATTGACTGCAGCCTATTGTAGAATTGATCTTTAGCGTCTTCATTGTAGTCGTTGGTAGGCGCATAGCATTGGATGATGTTCATTGAAATGCCCTCTTTCTTTGTTTTGAACGAGGCTTTGATGATCCTTGGTCCATGAGATTCCCATCCTATAAGTGCATTTTGTGCTTGTTTGGACAGCATCAATGCAACTCCTTGTGTATGTGGGGCATTTTCTTCTTCATGGCCGGAGTATAACAGGAGCTCTCCTGAAGTTAGTCGTTGTTGTCCAACTTGTGTCCAATGTGTTTCACTGATCCCAAGTACCTCTAGGTTGTATCTTCTCATTTCTGCAGCAATTTGGAAGGCTCTCCCGGTGTCCCACATTGTACGAACATTCCATGTACCTAAATAAATGGTTGCTCTGGTTGTCAGAAGGGGCATCGGCCTCGTAACTTCCGAAGGAATTCGGCTTTCATCATGAGGCGTCATAATTCTTCTAAATGAAGACCTTCTGACTCCCAGGGCAGAGTTTAAAAGGTTTGAATAATTTTTTCTGGTTAGCGTTTTTTTAGCGAGTTAGTTTTCTACGGGATGGAGACGCTAACCCCATGCCCAACCCTCCTCCTTTATCCGGGCTTGGGACAGGCAGTAGCCCCCGGAGGGACTCCAGGCGGAATTATAATAATAGGGTAAGTCATGACAAATAATTGTTTTCCGTCTCTTATAAGAGTTGATTTCTTCAAAGAATTGTACGAGCCTTTAGATTGTGAACGTAGCCAAAGTTGTTTGTCTAGATAACTACGACCAGACTTGAGAAGTCCCCAAAGAAGTATTTAATTTCGCCTGTCTTTTTCTGTGTTATGGAGCTCAGGATTATGCTTATCATCCGACATCCACAGTTATACATGTTCACATAAAGTGATTTTAAAACAACCAGATGGGAGTGAATGCAAGAGAGAAAGATGAACTTTAAGAATTTATTTTCGTCACGATTATAAAACAAAGTGCAGTTTGGTGCCGGCTGAAATACCACAGATAATTGTCTGGTCGTAAAAAGAGATGCACCCGTGAAATTCCGTGAAGCAACTCTCATGAGCTAGTTTAGGCTTTTACTAACATGTAACTAGTAATTCGAAAAGATTATTCTCAATGAGCCGATTTTGAAGGGGACAGTGTGACGGTGGCTAAAGTAACTGATTTTTGAGTTTTCAACCGAGAGTATTCTGATTTGCCGAACTGCTTATTGGTATCTCCATGTAGTCACTGAATAACTCATGAGTTTAGAATAGACTCTCACCTTTAGGTCACATAAGTGCCCGTCTGTGGGCGAACTTTCTTTTGTGCGGGACATGCAGAGAACATGAGTGAACCTATTCTAAACGGATCCCGAAGTGCTACTCTATACATTGCAAAAATAGGACAACAAATCAATCATTTATGTAAGACCTCAGTAATTGACATTTATTTCAGTTCCAATGTAAGTGAAGGAGATTAGTTGAGTGTTCTTCCGAGATCACCGATTATTTACCAATATTTCAACTTTTCATGTTTATGAAAAATCAGGGCCAACAATTTTCTTAGAGACGCGTCTTTAAGTCTAGATGTGGACTTCAAGTAGTTAACAACTATTCAATCATCCCATGAGTTTGAAGTTACTAGATTATTGAGTATTGAAAAAGCTAACAATTAACTGAGTACGCTACATGTCACTGGCAAAATGCCCGTACTTGAATCCCTTATGCTCGGTGAGAAGACAGCAGTTGTTTTTGACATAGGCTCAGTTTACACCAAGTATGCATTTTTGATGTAATTAACAGGATTGATAGGTGTGGTTTCGCTGGAGAAACTGGACCAAGGTTTATTATGCCAACAGAGATCACTTTGGTTTGGCGAACTTGTAAAAATCATTAATATTTTCAGCCCACAGGTGAAAAAAGAAGTATATCCTCGTGTGATGGAAAGGATAAAAGACGAGAGTTCTTGACAACTTTTCTTTACAATATATACTATCGGTATGATCATCAAAATTTATTTCACACTTCGTAGACATTTGTTGGTAAACCCTAAGGACAGACGAGTTGTTGTAGTTGAAAGTGTCCTCTGTCCTTCATCATTCCGTGAGGTTTTGGCCGACGTTTTGTTCAATCATTTTGAAGTAAAATACTAAATGCAGATATCTTTTTGTTTTGATATAGGCACCTTCTGTACTTTTTGCAACTTCCCACTTGATGGCACTATTTACTCTTGGGATTTCGTCAGCTGTTGTATTAGACTGTGGTTATATGGATGCTCAAGTTCTGCCTGTAAGGGATATTCGCCCTCATCCTAATGTTTATAGGTTTATGAAGGTTACACTCTACTGAACGCTTGGCAGTCAGCCCAGCTTGGTAGCAAAAGAATTCATGAGTATGCTTCGTGTAATATATAGTAATGTCCGTTAACTTTCAGAAACATCAGGGGTTACCTAAATGAGAATGCCAAGTTGGTGGATGATATCAACGGGGAGTCGCAGTTAACCCCTGTCCAGATTGTTTTATTTCGGAACATATCGTTGAAGATATAAAAGGTAGAGTGTCACTCATATTTGCTTACTCCTAGTTCGTACATGTTTTGTTACTCCACAAAATAGGGCAGTCCAGTGGAAGGCTTGGAAGGACTCTGCTGAATCATCGGTCACAAAGCCCAACTTGTATCAGGAAACATTTATTTTCCCCCTAGACAAGTTAGGGAACGAAAGGCCAATTCAAGTTGCATCAGATATCCGAGAGTTGGCAGTCGAATGTTTGTTTGCTGGAGACAATGATCAAATTACAATTACAACACTAATTTTACGATCAATTTTGTTGGCACCTATTGATATTAGAAGGTATTTAGTCTCATTAACTTTACTCTGCACGTGAATCTTCTTATTTCTCGTCATGCAATATCCTGGTCATTTTGTATTAACTTTTGAGCATTTTGTACATAAAATCAAGCTAACCTGTGGACTAGGCTGAAGATGCTTTTTGTAATATGAGTGGAATACTGGTGGTATCTTTGTAGGTTTCGTCTTCACTTCCAGTTAGAATTTTTGGTGTATGACTGTGCAGGTAGTTTGCACACTCAATGAGCCCATGCAAGCCGCAGTAATATATTGATTCATAATGAAAACTGTCTTTGAGATAGTCAGGTCCCAAATCATTTACTTTGTATTTCAATATATATATATATATATATATATACTCATTAAATATTCATACGTTTGTTTGCTTAGCTGGTGACTAAACACTAAGAAAATTAGATATTGGAATCTTCTCTATCATAAAAGAGACATAGAGGGGTTTGACCTCGCCACTGCGCCAATAGGGCGGTGGATCAGTTGTTAAGGGTTCGAACCCTGTTCCATATATTCCGGATTAATAAACTGGGTAATATCACTAACCTAAGTTCACAAGCCTGCATCTGGCAAACAAACTGATAACCGCTGTGTTGTGTCTCATGATGACAGGACACAGTTATTGATGAACTCTTAAATATTCGATCAAAAATGACTTGAGATTTACAGTTTCAGTAGAGATTTACAAAGCCAACTTTTCCAGAACTTTGGTTACGAACATTATGCATTTACACTGTAGTCTACATATCCTAGCCAGACTACTTTTATTGTCTCTTGAACACTAAGTAAATTAATCTAATAAATGATGTGTGATTTTATGAAACAAAGATAATGTGACAACTCATTAGTTAATAAACTGCCTTGTTGTAATATCAGTTGGTGGTGTCTCTAACTAACTTTGTTAAATTCTTACAATTCGAACTAAATTTATAGAGGGATCCTCCTAAATTCCAGAAATTATTACATATTAGTTTCAGAGGGTTCAGTATACTACTTTTCAGGGTATGAGTACCTCAATAATGCAACAAAGACTAGCAGGCTCTAGGTGGTGGTCACTTTTTTCTGTGACAATCACCCTTCATCTAGTTGGCCGTAGGGTCGAACTTTAAATCACCTAGTTCGGTTCAAACACTGGTGGTGGCGCTAGACCACACTGAATGCGTGATTCAAAGCTGAGTATTAAAGTTTTTTGTTTGTTTTAGATTAAGTATCCTGGTTATTGTTCGCTTTTTCACTTCTAAGACTCATTTTTCTGGTTTTTTCAGACAGTCCATCAGTTTTTGCTGACCAATATCGCATTGTAATAAACTTTATAAGCTCTTAGGAAAGTGGATTTGAATGTTGGTGTTACACCTCACTAGTTAAAAGCTATGGGCAACAGTGACTGAATAAATATATGCTTCTTGGTGTTCAACTTTATTTTCTATAGCCATTTCCACTTGATACAGTGTTTTACAGTGGTCTTTTCCATATAACAGGAAGTTGGCAGAAAATATTGTACTTATTGGTGGCACAACCATGCTACCCGGCTTCGTGTCTCGTCTAATGGAGGAACTCAATTCACTTGTCGAACTTCCTGAGTTCTCAAAGTTACAAGCTTTAAAGGGATCTTTTAAATTTCACAATCCTCCTGGTGAAGCAAACTACATAGGATGGCTTGGTGGTAGGTTTTTAAATTTTGTTGCTAATAAGCCTTCATATTATATTATTTGTCCTAATTTTGACTTCTTTATTTTTCAATCCATACAATTAGTTAATTGCTGCTCAGCTGTTTCTCACAACCAACTTATTTGTCAAACTATCACTTTTCATTCTATGTACGTTATTTAACTCGGGCTCGTATTTTATGGAATGGGTTGTAGACTAAGAATGTAAAATGTTCACGAAGTTAAAATATATAAAAAGTGATAATTTCATTTCTGAAGGATGTGTGTTGTGATAAACTAAACTGCAATTATCAGGACTTCATTTTTTTAAAAACTAGTGTACCTGCCCATGCCGTAATCGTAGATGAAATAATATGAATATTTGTTCATAAATATCAGTTTATGACTCCACATTATTTCTCATTAATGTATTTTTATCAGCACTCATTAAATCATGTTAGTAAGGAATAAATTCAAGTTGATGTACCTCATTTCCTCTACAGGAGCAATTTTTGGTGCGCTCGAATGTCTACCAGGACGTTCACTGAGTCGGTCTAGTTTCTTGGAAAATGGTTTAGTTCCAGACTGGTGTACTCAAATTGATCAGAAACATTACGACCTTGAAAGGCAGGATACTACCCGCCAGTGATATCTAGTATGAACTTGTATTAAGTCAACCATTACGTATTCATCATTCAGTAAATATATTTCCTTCTAAGCATCTGTTAACTTTCTCTTTGTTTACAACTTCATGAGACAACTTATTTTTGATAATTTTACTTCCAGACCAGCTAGTACTTTATTTCCTGGTTTCGTCAATTGGGTTGGATGCTTTGGGTTTTAGAAATAAATTCTTTTCAAAACGTATGACTTTTGGCAACACCATTTTGATGAACCTCTCTATGTTTCTATATTGTCGTATTTTTAGTTTAAATGGATCATATTAAACCTAGATACAAACTAGTCGATTTAAAGTTGAGAAGTTTTACATTTTACTACTGGGTGATTTTGAAAAAAGTCTAGAAATCACTTTTCTAGTTGTTTGATTAACACCACAGAAAAAAAAACGCTCAGTTATTATCGTTATTTTTAGGTATTAGTTGAAGAATTAGAAGTCCTTAAAATGTGAATCATTGATTGTTGAATCGACACTTATAACTCCATGAAAAAGTATTTATGCAAATGATTTGAATTAGATCCTCTGCTTTTTTCCACCAATCTACAACAATAAATTTTCTGAAACGTTTAGTATAAGATTTTCGTTTGGGGAGAGGGGAGAAAGTAGTAGATCTTTCATTAAATTTGGACAAACACAGGGATTTATCCATATAGTAATCCTTTAACTTTAAGTTCTTATTAGATATGATACGATTTTAACTAATTCTTAGCTTTTGATATATATATATATATATATATATATATATATATATATATATATATATATATATAATTGATAGGAATACTTTGACTGATAACAGCTAGATAAATTTGATCACGAAGTCTCTGTTTAATCACCTTAAGGTACCGAACAAATAATCACATGCATCCTCCTTGCTAGTTTGAGGTAGCACTTACAGGAAACTCGCTTACTTTTACACATATCGAACTAATCTAGGTATTCAGATGAGACCTAGTGCGTTGATGAAAAATGTGTGTTGTAAAAAGAATGGGGCTTGAAATCTTACTACTTTTATTGATAAGTAACATTTCAGGTATTCAATGTAGACATGGTTCTGGATGAGCAAATTGTAGGATGTTTAATAAATTTTATTAATGAACTTCGTTTAGTTTGACTGTCTATCGCAAGCGAACAGTTTTCTAGAGGAAGTATTTAGGACAAATACTTGCCTTAGGCTTAGAAACAAGAGGATAACTCAGAAAATAAATACTCTATGAATTGACAAACTATTGATTTATCTTGTCGTTTCAGGAGCGATGTTAGCATGAAAGTAGAGCGTTGAGGTAAGCAAGGTTAACCAATCCATAGGATTATTAATTTAATAGAAGATAGTTGAATTAATTGTTACTGTGTATAGAAGGCCAAGGTAGTATGGTGATTTCACAATTCAATGACTTCATGATAAAACCACTGATGGACTGTTGACATTGGGTGACTGAGAAAGTTTTCTACGATCACGATAACCAGAGGTCTGAAACTTTCAGTTGAAAGTTGCAGAATCATTTTGTTTCAAAGACAACAGCTAAGCTAATAATCCTGTGTAACACCACATTAATCCAACTAGACGAATGAACATAAAAGCACCAATTAGTCATATTATAGCAATCGATTGAACATGTTACATAAGCAATCTTAAACCTTTCATAGAATAAGAATAATAGCTAACACCATACACAGACGAATTCGATGTCCAATAATAATTTTTATAAGAATGATTAATTATCGAATCACATGGATATTACTAGAAAATGAAGCCAAACAATAACGAGAAATTAAAATAAACAACAAAAAGCAGTTACATGATTGATAGGATAAAATAATAACGCACAAAAAGACGGATAATGACATTCATGTACTACTGACTAGAATGATTATTATCATTATCAATTAAATTAATCGGATCAGGTTAAGCGTAAGAAATAAAACTGAGAAACATTTATTTGTTTTAACTATTATTGTTGGGAGAGTTAAGGCTATGGTAGGGGGGGGAATTACGCTTACTACATAAAGTATTCAGATAATATAGTGAAGATGTATTTATACAGTAGACTTTCATTAAGAACAGATATTACATTTGCTAAACAGAAGGCGATAAAGACGACATTACAAGAATCGTTTTACATCAGCATTAACTAATGGTAATAAAATAAGCGTATTAAGCAAGGCTATAAATAATAACATTAATGCACAGATTTAAAATATAATTTGGTGTTGTTATATCTTCATTAGTAGGAGTTCCAAAGCAGGAAGGCATACATTATATTCTTATTAGTTATATAATTTCCATACGAATATATTAAAGGTTAAAAATCATTACTAAATGACTATCAACTATGCAGAGATTTTTGTATGAAGTGGGAAGATGAATGAAAGCGATTTGTTTGACTATCAAGTCAGATAAGTTTTATACAGGGATCGAATAGGTAGCATACAATACATTTCTGGTAATTTTGTTTTTATATCACATGTGATATGATGAAGTAATGTTGAACTTCCATTATTATTGTTATAGTTCGACACAGTAGTATGTATTTGCGTGTAAGTGTTTTCGAAAGGGATATACCGTATACGAACAAAGATATAATTTATCAAATTTTGTAAAACAGAACAAGATAATTAGTTATTTTTCTTTGGTTGACAACTCAAGTATACGTGCTAATTCTTCATCCTCAGCTCGGCGACGTTTTTCTTCAAGTTCTTGTTCAATACGAGATTCTTCTAAAGCTTTCATATAGGCTGCATCCGCACTTGTTACAGGAATTTCAGCACCGTCAAGACTTAAACTGGCTGCGATTGCTCTATAAGAAACAAAATACTGAAATAATCTCACTAAGAATATGCATACTTATGATATCTACATGTATAAAAAATCTCATTCCGCAATGTCGATTACCACCAAGGCTATTCCCGACCGTTGTTGCTACCTTGACGTGGTGGTCGGGCTTGCCTATCGTGATGAAGCAACCGAGCTATACTGGCTGGAACAACCGTTCCTCAAGGTCCTACCATGTCAGACAGGTCGGTTGAAGAGCGGTAAGACTAAAAGCAACAAACCCAAGGTCCGAAGGCGAAGTCGTACTGCTGACTGTACAGAGGTGTGACAGCAGTAAGGTGTTTCCTTCAGACAACCAGCATGACAGCGATGCTGCCTTCCCACAAGGAGGGGTGGGGTTAGAAAAGGTCGACCCTAAAAATGCACGCCTCGCCTTATCCCACGGATATCCGTCTCCGGCGGTAAGGTCTCAATAAGTACGGAGCTAACACAAAAATTACCCATAACAAGGTCGTGTGTGACCGACCTCAGTTGGGCACTGCGGTCACGCTCTCAGTTCACTAAGACCACCTTTAATCCAATTTCCTTTTCAGGTACCTCCAGAACAACCCTTCCACGGTGTGGCAACCGGGAAGTGATAACCGCCCTCATACTTCTAACAGCACTCAAGTCCACTGTATTCATAATCAACCTCCCTCTTCAATTCCTATTATTCCTCCTACATCGACTGACTGACTGACCAAGGCTATTTATTCATGGAGGTAAAACGATTTTATTTGGAACTATGAATGTTTAGAAAAGTACTACAATATAATTTGTGAGTCATCAATTGAATCAAATCATACCAACAAATTACAGATCAATAAGGGAAATGAAAAGGCTTAGAGTAGTAATTCATGTACTTTAGAATACAATCAATGTTTGGATCAACAATACTAATACATGGTATTCTTGGAGACAATTAAGTGCCTCTAACGGCAAAGCTATTTAGAATAACAGGAAACTTAGTTGTATTAATTTGAAAAGGTAATAATCAACTATCCAACCAAGTTAAGGTGCTAATTTGTCTGTTTGAGCAGACATACGTTTTTCAGATTCAAATTGGGAAGAGTATTCACATCTAGAAACAATGGCTTCACACAACCAGATTTAATTGAAGAGGTCAAGGATGTTTAGTTGTATAGTCTGAAATACTGTTTAAATAGATGATAACTTGTAAAAATAAACATCACGTGTGATTTTTGTTTATGGTTTTGTGATTTCCTCATCACACACACACAAATGTGTGTGTGTGAGTTGTATACTGAACAATCGACATAGGGTACTTTAAAAATGATATTTACATGCGGTATTTCTATTTGGCAAAAAGCGATATACTGCGAAACTTTGGTTGATTTATTTCAACTTTCGTGTTGGCGACACCAAGATAGAAGAAATATCCAATGAATTCGAGACCAAGTCATATGGTGACTGACTAGCCTATCTACATCTAATTCCAAACTATATTACCAGTGATAACTTCGCATGAAACACAGCATTACACAAGGGGATGATGCCAAGTGTAAAAAAGAGACATGTTTTGGTTGTGAATCATCACTTATGGATCACCCACTCAATGCTTTATCAGAATGTATTACAAAAACTAGCAGGTAACCAAATCTCTTTTTTATGTCAACTACTGTTTAAATTCCGTTAATTTAATCACTTGTTTATTCTGAAGAAGTACCTTGCACTAAGTCACAAGACGTTAGGAATTCTAATTTCTGCTCATTAGAATATCACTGATATATCATTATTTTATTACTACAATTACAAAAGCTTTATTAATTATTCATGTTTACTTATAAACTCTTGGTGCACTCGAACACCAGCATGACAGAATGATAACATTATGAGGAAAAGGAATAGAGAATATACAATAAATGAATACATAGGCAACGACAGGATTTAATAAAATTCATACTTCAATTTAAAAGACAAGAGAAAGTCTTTTTAATTAGAAGGGTTCATCTCAACTTTATGGAAAACTTATTAGAAAACTAGAGCAAGACAGTTACTGACTTCCATTCGGAGCCATATTCGATAACGTCCCAAACTTGAGTTGCATGGTTTTTAGAATTTCAATCAGGACGTTGTGATACACTAATAGCTATCAGTCCCATATGACTATTTTTACATAAAAAGGTACCATATCACAATATAACTAGCTCTTTGCATCTTCGATTCATATTTAAAGTCATCAAATAATGATGAAGCTTCCACCGTAAATTATTCCCAAGATACCTACCTTAACTACAGTTTTAAGGCTACGATATCAACTGAACTATTACCGCGGTGTTGGACTTGACATTATTTACGACATAATTAAGTAATCAGTTTGAGACAAAAATGAAAGAACGTAAAGTCAATGAGCATTTTCAGTTTACAAAGGGAATGTTTCATAAGCCTGGAGTTTTAAAGCTACCATCGAGTTGTTTACTGAACATTCAACAGCCAGACTACAGTCGCTCATAGCGCCAAAGATGATCCACCATCAAAGGGCATTTGTCTGGAGGAGAGAAAGCACTAGTAAACAGCACTAAAAAAGAAGACTTTTTTTGTTTATTCGAAATCATTATTGGATTGGTCTGAAGTTCCAGGATTTATGATATACATATATTTATATACACTGAATTTTTCTGGGCGTTACCTTAAAATAGATCAATCAAAGTTCAGGACGAAATATATTGAGTAAAAGAAAAAAAATCATTAAACAAAGCTGTGAATTAGAGTAAACAAGTTTGCTATAGTTTTGAAACTGAAAACGCCTCATTGAATGGCTAACCATGGTCATTCGTCAAATTGTGATGTAAATTAACTTTAAATTAAATACTACCTCCATAAACAGTGAATTGAATAAGTGCAAATGCTTACTGTTGCATCCAAGCTTCTTCTGGTTCAACGTATTCATCAGCTCTCGCCTCGACTATACCTCGTTTAGACTTAGTAAAGGGAAATGAGCAAAAAAGAACACAAAATAAATGCTCAGTAATCTAAAGTTTTTTTTGAGAAAATATTATCTTATTACAATAAAATCCCATGAAAAAAGATTATTTCTTATGATAAAAATTAAAATAAGGTTTGAGCGAAGTTATGTGTATAAAAGATTTTCTCATAAAATTTGTTAGTTAACTTATTCTGATGCGGCTTGTATAGTTAGTTAAATTCTGAATAAGTTTTTCATAGAATAGATAGAATATGGCTAGCAGTGGGATTCAAGATGAGCGTTTTGTCCTATTTGGGATTTGTTAGCCGGATGTATGTGGATCTTAGAGTTGGTGTTTAACTCCGGGGCTCCAATTCAGTACCGTCCGCTTCAAACACCATCGCTTAATCCACTTAGCTACTGAGTCAAAATAGCCATTCACTTATGAAACGGGTATGAGTTTTAATTTAGGTGCATGTAGCTACATCCACTGACGAGTCCCAAATAGGATGAAACGCACATCTTGGATTCTCCTGCTAGCCACACTCCATCTATTTTATACTAGTTTTTCACAATGGCAATATCGAGGTAATCCGATTGGATGTACGTATGCCAACCGAGAATAATCAGATTCCAGTCAAAATATCAACAGTGGAATAATCCAATCCATTTTAAACTGAATAGTTGTTGCAGAAAAAGACTGTTCATACCAATTAATACTAAAAAGAAGTTCCACATCATTATAGAACACCATAAAAGTTGAATCAAAAAGTCACTGTATAATAAAGCGGATAATGACCAATCAATGTCTAAAAACACATTGAATGAAAGCACTAAATGATCTTTATCTAAATACGTTGGTTAACTTCAGTCAATTGCATGGTTGAACCATAATGATCTACCAAATACTAATAATGAAATAAATTTTAATATTCATCCAGTCATATCAAACTTTGATTACACTTAAAAACAGTAATACACGAAACGGCATGATTAAACAAAGTTTAAGTAGTGTTAAGTGATAATTTGAAATTTTTAGAAGTGTATTCTTTTGAGCAGTTTGAATTCAGTATATCTTTTATGATTGTCAGAAAATTTACTTCATAACTTTATGACATATTTCGAGAAGGTGATTTGTGTTATTTTAGACAAAGTACTTTACATCAATTAGATCTCAGTAAAATTATAAAGATAACGATTTTTTTTTTCAAATGAATAAAAAATGAGAAATCGTTTTGAAGGGACCTACCAATGAATAATCTCTTTGTATCAAGTTTTCCGATGATCCATATTCTACTAAACTTCGTTGAACAGCCATTTGAACCATTTGTTCTTCATCATACAAAGCTCCATAGTGTCCAGGTGAATTCTCAACTTTACAAAATAAAAGTTATTTTTTGTTTTACAGAAATAGTGACTCATTAAGAGTTTTAAATAAATTTATCATTATATTAGTGTTGTTCCCTAATGTCTATTTCTATTTTTAACCGTTTAAGCTTAAAACTTGATAAACGTTTACAATCAGTTGGAGTTAGGCAACTGTAGATACCTTAAGATTTACTATGAATGTGTACCCGTTAAAACTGCAATACTCACACTAGTGGAACAAGATAAGCCGAGGAAGGGAAATAATATTATTAGTTGAAATGGGAAGCTAACAGTAAGAAATCTACTTCAAAAGCGAATAAATTGGACAACAGTGAGTTAATGTGGATAGAAGTATAGAACATAATTCAGAAGTAATGATGAGAATGGAACGGCTAACTTCATCAGTGAATTTCACGTAATACTATTCAGTATATGAAATGAATTTCGTGTTTTTTTGATAGGAACCATAAAACATTATTTCAACTTTGAAAAGCTCAAGAATTCGTACTAATCAACTCTATGCAGAGTAGTACACTCATTAGTTATCTTTTGTAACTGCTTTTTCGTCATTGTTTGTTAAAAACATTACAAAGTAAGTCGTATATATATACACAGTGACTTAGGTAGTGAACGATTAAATTTATTTATTTTTCATCAATAAACTCAAGTTAGTCAGTAAGTAACAGAACAATACTGACTGATAGTAAGAGAGTCATTTTTTTATCTTTCTTCAACTTTTTCTAACACTATTCCCACCTTACAAAGTAGGAGTTAACAGGCTTAAATCAACCTTCACGTTTTATTTAATATAAACAACAAATCGTTAATTTTGTAGAGATTGAAGATCTTAGTACCAAAGTACTTCGATTTCAAATCATTTCTCTTGCTAAAGAAAAAATGCAGCGATTGCATATAACGATCCATAGGAGTTTCATTTGTGTGTCCCCATTTTCTTATGAAGTAAATCAGTCGTAGTGTGTGCTACTGATGTCGACAGATATAAGTAGTATGTATCATCAATCGAAAGTGAATTGCCTGGAGGCAGAAGGTTAATAAAATCAAAGAAAAGAGAACGAGCACAGAGAATGATTGGTGTGGAAATGAAGGAACAACGAAGTCTGAGACGATCGCTTGACATTTTGCAAATGAAATATTTACTGTATGGTTCTCAGATTTTAATACGAGATTCTGTAATTTTGTGTTGAAATACATTCCGCCATCCCCACATGCGTTCTCGTTTACTACAGTAATACAGTGTTTAAGTACGTTTTTTGCTATTTTGATTCGCAGTTGCTGTATGATACTTTTGTGGACTCACCAATTTGTTACACAAGGTTACTTACTACTCTTCCAAAGGCAGCACCTTAAATGAAAGCAAATCTAAGCACGTTTCATCTACATTTATATTTTATTTTGATGTATAAAGTTTAAAATAGTCAACAAATCACTATATAGATATTAGAAAAGAAACTGTGAAAAGCAACATTTTAATTTACCTATCAAATGATATCCTTTGCCTACATCAAATACACTTTCATCAATAACACATTTAAGTGGTTGTAATGAACTGGATTCCGTTGAAGATTCAAGTAATGGTTGATCAGTTTGATTATCAGATGCAAATTTACTAGTTGTAGGACTATCCGTTTTCTTATGTGTATCTGTTGAATCTGATGGATGATGCACACCAGAGTCCTTACTACCAATAGGTACTGTAGAAACGCCATACACACTATTATCTTGACCATGTAAATTGCCAAATGAGACGCATGCATTTAAGACATGATAAAGCGGAATTTCTACAAAAATTAAAAGCGTTTAAAGCTGATGTAGATATTTTACACAAGCAACTCAGGTGTATGCAGAATGAAGAAAATTAAGTGAAATACAAAACAAATACATGGGAAAACCAACGTTTATCATTTCGTCCCATAGTTAAGAAATATACTTAACCTTTCTAAAATGGATATAATCAAAATAAAGTAAACAATTCATAATTTCCCATGCCTCAGAATACTGGAAGACAACTGTATTCAAGGCAATATATTCACTGATACATAGTTTTTGAATGGCAATTATCTCAACTACAATGACTCAATATTAACCAACACTGAGAAAAATTTATGAACCAAGAGATTGACTAGCATACGGTTATCAACACTGTGATCAAGTTTTAATTGCTAGCCAAAATCTCGTAGTATTCAAAGGTCAGAGCCATTGAAATACATCTTTACACCTACCTAGAGTTGATCGTTATGTGCAGAATTGATTTAAAAAAGGAGATAGGTGTTTATGTGACGTACTACTGACCAATAAATTAGAAATAATTTATCTAAGCGGAAAAGTTATACGATGGTAAGGGCTTGGATTCATAGCATAACATAACATAATGTATAGAACAATTGAAAACCTTGGAGACGGTGAAAGTGCAGAATAAAAACGATAATAACTGGAGTAAATTTCAGCGACCCGAGTATTCTAATGATGTCCTGTTTTAATACATTTATGGAAATTATTTCTGATTGGGATGGTCATGAATTCTTGTGGCAATAAAGTATGTGACTTCTCAAGTTCAACCTCTTTTTATGGTAGCAACGAAGCACATTCATAGAAGAAATCGGTTATCTATGAGTACGATTGCAGTACAACATCACTTGGACTCACTGGTAATCTATTTTTCAGTAAAATGCTCTCCAAAGAATAGTCATAGTATGATAGGATCACAATAAATAGACGACTCAGGTAATATACCCTGACTGCTTTACTGTGGCGTCAATCAAGATTTCAACGTAGTTATCTCACTTGATACTAAAATGTACTACTAAGAGATACATACCCCGAAAATTCGTTACGGAAGTGTGAATCAAAAAATAAAATTGATTTCCACTGACTGATACATCATACCGTGAACTATTTTAAGTTGGAAAACGTATACCGTCGGTTTCTAATCTAAATACGTAATTAGTATAATGGTCTGAAAAAAATTGACGGTCGTTTGCTATCGTGGCTAGTTGATACCAGTATATCAGATGCTTTACACATTTTAATATTATTCGTCATAGTGTTAGTCTCTTAAATAATTTGTGCCCCATCCTAACACCTGAAGCCGAATACGAGAAGCCAAACCTATTTTTTTCAGGAGGAAAGATGACACACTGGGTTTATTACAAGCCTGTCGACTGATAACCTCACGTGATTGATAATAAATATATTTTTCATATATCCCAATGAGTAGAAAAATCATATTTCTCACGTTTCGTGACTCAATGTAGGCCACTTATTCAGAGTAAATAAATAACCGAAATTAAATTAACGCAAGTTTAAATAATACAAAGGAAACAGCTGAAAATATTTTTAGTACAATCAAAATTATAATAGGTCTATGCCAGTGAAAAGTTGGATCTACTTGACATGTTAATGTAATAGTTTGTATCTCAGAATGTCGCAACGAAAAATTTATTTCAAACTATCAAGTCCAAAATTGGTGTTGACACCTATAAAACTACGTGATTGGTTAAGAACTGGCTTAAATTGCATAAAGATGGGACATATAGCATTCGTGACTCAATTATCCAAGATATATATATATATATATATATATATATTTTGGTGCCCTCTTGTACCAATATTTATGTGTTCAAATAAATTATTAAATAAATGCATAATGCCAATTCTGATAGTCAATAGACCCTCTTCTCACTCACATTCTTTTCATTTTACTAGACTGTTTGGCTCTTGTATAAGAAAATTGTGTATCAATACCGAAATCAGACACCGCAGGTCACAAAACAAATGTAATTCAACCAAATCCATTCCTTAGTGAACACTAAATTGAGGAGAAAAGCAAATATCTTGAACAAAAGTTAGATATTCAAACTCAGTACAAAAAGTTATTCTAAACATTTAACCTTAACCTTCGGTATTTTCTATTTTCTACTTCTGAAGGTAACATTGAAAAATTCGTTAGAAGTAAACGCATGAATTTCCAGTGTTTCCTACTTTATGTGTTTTACGAAACAGTACCAGACATGATAACCATGCCCTAATTTATCTGACCAATGAAAAATAAGTTGTATAATCAGTGAAATATTTCTTAACTTTTAAAAAATATACATTTATTAGTCCAAATTATGGTGATATAATAACAACCAAATTATGTGACACCATTATTATGCAGACAACTTTAATCGTAATAGAAGATAATAGTAAAAAGTTGGTTTAATTGAAAAAGGCGTTTGTTTTCTTTACATTTCATAATTTAGAAGTCTTCTATTATATAACACAATCGTCAATATTCAATTTTTGATCAATGAAAATAACATGTGATTCATAAGAAAGGCAAAGAAACAGTAATAAGGCATATTAATAACTTCTCTCCCCTTCATGGAGGTAAATAATGAAATCGAATCAGTAATCATGTGATGTACAAGGTAATATGTAGGATTTGATTTGTCCTACAGATATACTACTAGAACCGTAAACCCAATACTGTCGAGCAGAGTCTATGTGAAAGCTCTAGTCAGAACAAGGGCAACATGGCTTTTAAACTTTATCTATTTATACCGACCAGTATTGCATGTCTTATCGTAATGAATAAAATTACGAGTCACATTAATACAACAGGATAATGATGTCTTTCAATTAGTAAGTCACATGCAACAGGGATAGTTTACAGACACATCAGACTAGATTGGCGTGGTGGGCGCTTAAACAACGATTTGACTGGCTAGTTATGGACATAACTAAGATAATATGCACCAAATTTTACTTATTTTTAATTACAAAATTTTCCATCATGTTATAATATATGTACTTCAGTGGTTCCGATCAGATGCGAAACCATTTCATGGTTTTGATAGCCAATGTTGCTTAGTCTGACTTCGATAAGAGCCAAATAAGAACTTTAAATACACTTCCTTGATATACAGTGTTAATGATTAGTAGAAATATGGCAACTCCGAAGCATGCATCTCAAACATCAATCGAAAAATTTTATTTATTGACTTCATCAAACATATTAAATCAAAAGAAAAAGTTCCCTAAATAGTGATGAGAATACTTAAACATCAAGTTGTTAAATATGATTTTTCTGAAAATGTGACATTTGATTTCACTAACCAGATAACGGTACATGAAATATATTTTAACATCTAAATCATTGATAAGAGTCATATATTAGACTACTATTGTGGATGTCGCCTTATTAGTGGTTGGTGAATAAAGTAGTCTTCTTCCACAGTCGCATTTTCTTACTTGGGTCGGTATAGCAGTCTTGTTCCGTTGCAATAAGTAGCACTTATCAGTTAGTCTGCAGTCGCAGTAAACACTTTTACCATTAGTAACAATCAGCACTTCGTTCAGGTTAAAATACTGATGCATATGTTTTGTCTCAAGTCATTACAATTAGATAATAATGAAAACTTGAATCGTACTAAGTAGTAAGTAGCCTTCAAGATTTTGCTTTTATGTTCAATTATTTGAACATTGCGGCGTGGATATCAACAAGATATACATTTTAATGTTTCTATTAAATAACATATTTGGCTAATTAGCATATAGTAAACACACTCGAGTCTATTTTAATACAATACCAGATGTTAAATTTACTTTTCATTGAACAATCAACAAGAAATGAACAAAAATATAAGCGTACTCAACTGACTAATTATTTGACTATTTAGAACACTGTATGTGTTGTATAATTCAAATAGATGAATTGACAAATTGTTTATTCAAAAGAGCAGCTTATCTTTCAATAATAATCGATCCTATTATAGTCCGTTCTTAAGGAGAAATGAAGAACAAACCCGGATAAGAAAAAGAAAAAAAGCTTGAATACAAATGATGAAGACAGCTAAATTGGTAAACATAAATATATTCAATATAAATCATTCCAATTGGTTAAATAATCATAACGTGTTTGCTGTTGATAATGTTAGTGGTCAGACGTATATTGATGCTTATTTCCCTGTTTTTACATAATACAAACATAACTAATAACACCAATATCTATCTTTAGCTGTGTATGGTATAAAAAATAACAATCACAACAAATATATATTTAGCTCTCACATTGATTATAACAGCAGACAGAGAGAGAAAGAAAGAGAGAAATATTTAATCTCCTGCATGTTTATCTACTGGCATAAATCCAATTTATGTAAATAATAACATTATAGTAGATGAAATACATATTATAGATTTTAGAGCACAGAGATATAAAGAAACGAGTAAAAAAAGGAAATATGATGTACAGTTATCTCAACAGAAAACATAGTATAATCACACATAACTTATTTATTGCAATGTATTATGATCATCTAAGAAAAAAGAGTATAAGATTATGTTCTAGTTAACTGATCAATGACTGAAGCAAGGGAAATAAACTAGAAAAATATAAAAGAAATGAATATTTAGGAATATGATAACACATGAAACTGAAGTAGAAAAGAAAAATAAGAAATTGTTCAAACGGAAAAAGATAACATTGATGATGTATTTACTTTTAAGGTCCAGGTACAGACAAGTTACAAGTATCATATGAATGATAGAGTTTTAGGGCTCAGTATTACTGTAATTTGGATTTTCGCTATAATGGGATATATGTTCGACGGTCGCCTCACAAACTAAGCTTTGGACAATTAAGCACTGGTAGCAGTTATATTAATAAAGGTAAATAAGGGAATCTCTTTAAGATAGTTCTAATCTACTTAGGTTATTGTGTAGTAACAAAGAGGTGATGAACTATTTAGTAATTTAGTCAATTTATAGTTTGAAATAGTGAAATTTACCTATCATTGTTTTGAGCTAGTCAAATGGACAGTACGTACCTTCAAGTGGTTTAGTAAACTAATCTCTAATTTATTAATAGCATGCGATTATTTCAAGTTGTTTGAGCAAAGTTAATATACTGCGTCAAGAGGCTAAGATATTTTTCAATTTCCAAATGTTGTATAACATAATCCATTTAATGCTGGTCCAAATAACTCATTTTACGAATGTTAAGATTTCAGATCTATGAACTACTCGTTTTCTTTAGAACTTTTCACTTACCTTTTTTTAAAACGAATAATTCTAGGGATAATTTTAACTTACAATACTAGTTGGTCATAAACTATGCATGAATAATGATTAATAGTAGCCGGGGATATTTATAGTTTTTATAAATGTCCAACTGATATGCTTTTGACAAAAAAATCTTCGAATTCTCTCACACAAACTAATTATAGTTTGAGTACATGTTAAATTTTAATCCAAGCAACTATACAGTTAGCAAAGGAATAGGAACAAAGGGGTAGAAAGTAGAAATTTGTTGGTTAACAGTAACATGTCAGTGAAGTTCTTAATAAATATAGTAACATGGATTTATAATGTATAATATGCCCTGAAAAAATTTTTTGCTTGATATTAAAACGTCATTGAGTTGTTAGTGAAGACAGGAAACAAGACTAAGAATGATGGAGTTGAAATGATACAAGTGATTAGATGAAATAAAGGCACAACCATAACTATGCTTTCGTGTGTTTGACCTTAAAGTAGTAAAACGATATCGAAACAAACAATAAAAACAGATGGCACATGTCCTCATCTATCGTCAGATGACTGAAAATATTTTAACAAACGTATGTTGAGGGAGAAAACTCCAAATAAAATTCACGATTTAGTCAACTGAAAGGAAACATCCAACATTTAAATAAGAATTTAAGTTGAAGAACATAACTTTTACAATAAGTTGGTATTTAGTGGAGGATTATGTCAACAAACAAAGACAGCCCGTTATTTTTAATGCTACTGATTTCTTTATAGTAGTCCTTACACTAAGTGTGATATAAAGCCACCCAGAATTCAAAACTAAGATTTTCTAGAATATGAGACAACCAGAAAATTCTACCGATTAACGTGATAAAAATATCTACAATCTTAATTGATTAACTAAAGACAGAGCAAAGTAAATGTCATTTCGATTTGATCAAATAGAGAAAAGCAAATATCCTTTATTATCCTTCATATGAAAGTCGTTAATAATAACAGTGTAAAACAAGACCAGAGAATTCAAGAATTAACCGTCATCATCCTTAAAATATCAGATACCATATCGTTTTTTTCTTATTACAAGACTATTTTTTATAAACAACAACATGAATCCATGTAAGAAGTCTCGTTACAGCAATAAATTATTATAAAAACAAATGAAATAGATTTAACATGTGGAAGCTTTCGTTATCATTTCAAATGACAAAATTACAACAAAAAATAAAACGTAATTTCATCAAAAACTATTAATTTGAAGCATAAAAAAGTTCAGGAGAACTTATTGTATTATTTCATATAGCAATGACATACAAGTGCAAGTATTTATTTCTTTGAACTGTTTCAAGGATCTTTAAGATCAGATTTTGTTTCAGATATTAAAGTAGTATTATCTAATCTTACACAAAAAATTAATGACCATCATTCTGTCAGTCATCTACAACGTAGGACCAGGCACAAATATGCATCGGTTCAAGTTGCCATACCTCATTAGCACAACAAGATCAACACCAAATTCATAGAATAAGTTACTTCAATGACAATGATAGATTAAAAAGATTGAGTACAAGAATATGATGTAGGTAGAAAGAATTAGTACGTAGAAAAAAACGTATAAAGTGATTTTATTTTCAGGATATAAGGGAAGACAAAGTGTGTATACATCTACGCCATTGTGATCAATTATGAGCCATGTCACCAAGAGTCTCCAACTATCGGTTACGATAGTCACGCGGACCCCAACCAAGTAGTCTGCATCTACCAACATGGCTCAGACTAAAAGTTAGTGACGTTATAGGCCGATGCCACGTTTCGGTTTGGCCACCTCTAAATTTCTTCCAACCATCCCCAACACTAGTCAGCATTGTGAGTCGTGGTAAACAGTGTTCAGGCATACGTAACACGTGGCCCAACCATCTCAATCGATGAAGATTCACAACCTCATAAACTAATTTACCATCATTCCCTAATACCCTGCGTCTAACCTCACTATTAATTACCCGGTAATACCAGAAGATGCGAGGAAGATTTCTGAGATATTTGTGATCAAATGCTAGTAACTTACAAGTATCCTTTACTCTTCATGGCCACATTTCGCAACCGTAAAGTAGAACAGAACGAACTGCTGCGTAGTATACTCGTCCCTTCGTTGATAGACGGATATCTCGCCTTCGCCATAGGTGTAGTAAGTTGGCAAAAGCCAAACGAGCTTTTCGAATCCATGCTGAGATTTCGTCAGACACGCATATCTATTTGGTGCCTCCTTGTACCAATGTTTATGTGTTTAAATAAATAAATAAGACACCAACCGATTAGGGCTGGTCAGACTACAAAATAAGTGAAGTTGTCAACGCGTTCGACTACTTCACTCCCTATCCTTAGTTCAGGTGCTGACGCAGGCTAGTATTGGAGCAACAACTTGCATTTAGAGGGAGAGAAGCGCATTCCAAACATTTTGGCATTGTTGCTCAGGGCTACCAAAAGACTCTGCATTTTATCAGCATCTTCACCAAACAGGACTACGTCATCTGCGTATACTAAGCCAACAAGTTAACCTACTGGTGGGAGATCAGTCACATGGTATTATGTCCGACTCTAAGGTTTTAGCTAAAATATTATTTGAACATAATGGTTTAAACGGAGCCACCTCCATACGGTGAGGTGTATATTTTTAGGGTCGACCTTTTCTAACCCTACCTTCCCTTGTGGGAAGGCAGCATCGCTGTTATGCTGGTTGTCTGAGGAAATACCTTACTGCCGCCACACCTCCGTACAGCCAGCAGTACGACCTTCCTCGAACCTTGGGTTTACTGCTTTTAGACTTACCCCTCTTCAACTGACCTATCTGGCATGGCAGGACGTTAAAGAACGACTGTTCCAGCCAGTATAGCTCGATTGGTTCATGACGATAGGTAAGCCCGACCACCACGTCAAGGTAGCAGCAACGTTCGGGACTATCATTCTGACTTGTATAAGGATGACTGACCATGACTTAGATTATTGATCAACATTATTCATTGAATTATTTCTCTCTCTCTCTCTCTTTATATATATATATATATATATATATATATATATATATAGAGAGAGAGAGAGAGAGAGAGAAGAAGAAGAAGAAGAAGAGAGCAAAAGATCTAAAAACTTCATTAGTATGTGAAGATATCGCTTTTTCATTTACCCTCTCCTACCTACAGACAATCCATTTTCTCGACGACCTACATGATGATTTGTCTAAATAAAAAAAGACGAATATACATACACACACACACACACGCTGTCCGATCATTACTTATATAATCGTGAATATTAAAAAAAGCAATGATATAAAACAGTAATAATAACAACAATAAGCGTTTTCAGTCAAAATCTCAAACAGCTTACCAACTTTCAGTGGAAATCCACTAGGCAATTGTTTAGTAAGAAATTCTTTCAATTTATGAAAGTATGGATTATATTCAGACATTAAATCAATAATCGGTATAATTTGATCTTTCAATGATAAAGGATAATCACGACATATCCATAAACGTGCTTTAAATGTCTTTACTTTTGTTATCATCGCTTTCGGTCGACCAATATCATCTAAATGAATTTGTGTACCAATATTACGTGAAAAATATTGTTGTGCTGTTATATGATTTGGATTGTAGCTTGCTGCTTCCTAAAGAGAGAAGTAAACGTAAAAAAAAAGTTTAAATAATAACCAAAGAGGTATATGGAGCAAGAATAGCAAAAGAGTGTAACTAAAAGAAAAAAACAAATGTGGAGAAAAATTAAAGTAGGATGAAAATATTGAGAGGGGAAAGGAAGTGATCGGTTTCATTATTTAAGATGATTGACTGATTAAACTGGAAAAGGGACAGACCAAAATAAATATTATTCATTATAGAAAAATGTTTATTTGTGCATGTACCTATTATTTATATAATATATAAGAATAATGATTGATCTATTAAATAGACTTATAATTTGTTTTGATTATGAAACATTACCATTTCTATCCAACTTGATGATTGATTAATTGAAATCACTTAAATTAGAAGAAATATTTTGTTTATTTTTCTTTTACATTTCATGTAATTTATAGATTTTTAATAAGATAGAGATATATTAAGTGGAGTAAAAAGAGACAAATAATTAAATATCACCAACACATACACGTACACAACACTGACTGTGATGTTCAGTTATTGTGGGAGTGGAATTTTAATTAGAAAATATTCAATCATAAGTAAAATCTAATAGTTTAGGTGATGTAATTAAAACGAGATAATCTGGAACCCTAGAAAGTTTAATTACTTCTACTGCTATATGTTATATTCTAACGAAGAATAAACGAACGGTATCTGCTAGGTAATATTTATGGACTATTGTTACACATATCCTTATTGAATGACTATTAAGTAACTATATAAATTGACTCAAATTTTGCATAACTGTTATTATTCATATAGTGGAAGCTGAAATGGTGTTCTAAACTCAATGGGTAGGAATAGACAAGGAGAATCAATAAGTATTCAGAGTAGATTGGAGGCTGTCCGTGCTGGTTAACATATCATTGGTTTGACAAAGGGCGTAGGTCGTATAAGTCGGTGTTCTGGTTGGCGATCTTGTCACCTGATATTTGACAGTAGAAAAGACAACACTAAAATCAATCGGATAAATCTTTTAATCTTAAAATGCTCAGATAGCACTCTAAGTAGAACAATATTTGTTGAATGAATACTGTAATAGTTTCAAGGTAGATTAAGATGACATACAAATTAAGGCTTTAAAATATTATTCAGTAATATATGTGAATTTTACACAATTAGCATGCCTTATATCTGGATAAAATTACGAAACAATAATGATAACAATATCGTGTAATATGAGAATTGGAACAAAGGTCACTTATTACTTAGTTAATATATAAGTCATTTACAGAAGAGGTTAAGGCTTCATTTATTATGTCATGGTCTTGTAAACGGTCACTTCAGTAATTAACACATAAATATTCAGGTAGTTTGGTTTGATTTGATCAAATATAAGCGGTTTAAAAATAGCTGTATGAACGCTTACTTAAATATTCGAATGAACTACTTTGAATTAGAAAAAGAGAAAGGTTAACAATGTATGTGTTGACAATATCAGTCGAGATATTAATATTGTGATGAAAACAGATCTTTGTAAAAAATAGACTATCAACTATTTTTTAAGATGACGCCTCTTAGTAATTATAAATCAGCCAGTGAGTAACAACATGGAACTTCGCACGTAAGTACATCAGTTGGAGTTGCCATACAACATTAGCACAGAGATGCAGTTGTCGATTCAAATCCCGCAGTGGTAGAGGTAGTAAAAGTATAAGCAGTAATCGGAAACATTAGGGTTTGAAGATGTTATTCAAGGAGTATAATCCAGTGAAATAAATTTAGAAAGAGGAAAAAACGGGACATGAAGAATTCAGAAGATTAGAATTTGAGAGAACACAAAGAGTGGATGCACCTGCGCCATTGTAAATAATTTTGAGCCATGTCATTCAACGTCTCTAACCACCGGTTGCTATCATCTCGCGGATCTCAACCAGGTAGTTTGCACCTACAAACATGGCTTAGTCCACTTGTTAGTGACTTCATGGATTTGTGCCATGTTTTGGTCTGGCTGCATCTAGCTTTCTTCCGACCTACTCCTACACCATAAAACATCCCACATCGGAGAGTCGGTGGTTGGGCATACATAACATGTGTCCCAGCCATCTTTACTGATGAAGTTTCACTACTTCACCAATTGATTTGCCATCCTTACCTAGTACTCGTTTCCTAACAACTGTGTTACTTACTCGGTAGTTCCAGGACATAAGAGCAATGCTTCGAAGACACCTCTGATTGAATGCTAGTAACCTACGAATATCCTCTACTCTTACAGGCCATGTTTCACTGTTATAAAGTAGGACGGAACGAACTGCTGCACAGTAAACTCGTCCTTTGGTTGGTAGACGGATATCTCGCCTACGCCATAAATGACGCAAGTTGGCAAAACCTAGTCGAGCATTCTGTATCTGTGCTGAGATTTCGTCACACACCAGACAACAAGGGCTGATGAGACTCCCAAGATAGGAGAAGCGGTAGACACGCCCAACTACTTCACTCCCTATCATTAGTTCGGGTGTCGATGTCACTCAATCCTGAAGCAACATTTTGCATTATAAATAACACTAGTTAATAAATAAATAGCGAGTATTTTGGATTTGTTGTGGAATTTTGTTGGCGAACAGTCTAGCACGAGTGAAATGAAGTATAAAACGTAGAATACGTAAAATACACATCGAAGGTACTTTACAAACTATATTAAACACGCCAACAGCTTATTTTTACCTTTAAGAAACGAATATTCAATGTGGAATCTATAATTACTTTATCATTGAACAGTGACCACTGTCATTTATCTAAGGTCATTCTCAAAGATAACCGAATTCTATAGATCAAGTTGTAGTATGGTCACTAATCTAAGTAACTCAACATCGGGTGCACTATGTTGAGATGTAAGGTGATGACTTAGCTTCAAGTCATAGAGAATGTCACTGAGATAACCAGGCCACGACTGACCTCTTGTAAGACTGAGATGTATTTACAGTTGTTTAATAACTGATTAGTGACCAATGTCATCAGTCCCCTCAAGATTCTATGTTTTGTAAATGTTTGTCAAATCGGGAAATTGAGTTATCACCAATATTCTAGGACTATCATTCTATTCGTTGATATATAACTTATTAACAATCTTAGTTTCAAATTCATTACAAATTTGTCTTTCAAACAACTCAACTTTCTGATGAACAATTCGTTACTTAATTTACAAATATGTTAGTATTTCAAAATAACTACATTTAGTGGTTTGTATGTTACTGAAGAGAGAGAGAGAGAGTGACGATGAACCACAGTAAATACTAAAAGAAAAAACTAACAATGAACTTTAGATGTGATCCCAAAATATTGAGAGGGATTACGAAAGTGAGAAAATACATTAAAAGCATTCATAATGTGGATAGATAAAAACAAACGTGAGTTTTTAATATCTTCAGTCATGAAGGTCATGTACACGCCTACAACACATCTCTAATACGGACAATAACAAGTGATTAAACCAATAATATTTTTATACAAACAATGTTTACTGGCAAGAAACTCAAATATATAAGTTTAAGTCATTAATGATGTGGTTTTTTTTTACCAAAAACAATGTGAAAAGTATGACGCTGAAATGCAATGGTAACGTTTATTCACTTATGGAGCGATGGAATTATGTACTGAACATATTTCATAGAACTGTTAAATATGTGCTTTCAGTGACCCATCAACTAGTCCCTAACTTGTTACATGACAGTTATCTATTAAGTACGAAAGTAGGTTGTTGTTTGATGAAGTGGTAGATAATTTACTATAAGTACGGAGTATTCTAACGGTAATGACGTTAACTGACAAATCAATAAACAATAAGCCCTATTGATGGAAATTTAATCATGAATCGAAAAATAGTTTACTTTGATGACACAGTCTAAAGACATAAACGGAATGTTTGTCAATAAAGTTGAGGAAACCATGGGATATTTATACAGTCATATCTGTTTAGCGCAGCAGAAAATTGGACTTGGCTAAGTGAATGTTCACATTTTCCTAGGAAAGTAAAAGACATTTAAAGTCTGCAGAATTTTGATCATAGGTGTCTTAGAAACGTTGCTCATGTACCACGGAGCAATCACTCAGGCTATGGTGAGATTAAACATAGAGTACTAGGTAAAGACGATAAATAAGTTGGTAAAACTGTGAACCTTTAACGACTTAGGTGACTGGGAAACGTGTCATGTAGGTCCAGTCACCGTTTACCCCGACACAGTGCTGGTTGGAGTAGGGACAGATTGGAAGAGATCTGTCGATGGCCAAAGCAAGACGCATCTGAAGTCACTGACTGTTGGTGTGGTCTGTGTTGGTAAGTGCAGACCACCTGGTTGGAGTCCTTGATATAACCACGATTAATAGTTGGAAATGTTTAATGAAATGCTTCAGATCGGTTATGATGGTAAAGATGCATTCTAAAGAGAGTAAGAACAAGGGTTGGTGCAGAATAATATGAATTCATTTTATTTCGTTAGGTTCTCATCAGCTGCTTACAACCTAAAATATTTGAAATTCAACGTTATTATAGATATTGACATACTTATACAACAGAGGGCGATGAAGGATGAATATATGTAACATAATGTGGCAAAGATTTCATTAGAGTTAATGAGGTCATAAAATTTTGTTTCGAATATATAGAGTTTGGGAGGGAAGGTTCCAGAAAATTGAAATAGTGATTAGAAATCATGGAATTAAAACACATTAGACGATTATGTAATGAAGTAACTGAAAATAGATTAATGTTAATAAAGAGAGATATGAATTGAAATTGGTCAGTTATGAATGATGTAATTATAAAATTCAGAAAGAGTTGAAATGACGTAATAAAAATAAATAAAATAAAAGGAGTGGGGTGAATGTTACCAGGGCAAAGAAAGATTTATTACTGTTTCTTTTTGTATACAAAGATCTGGTTTTAAACGTTTGATTGCTATTGCTTCCGCGAATTTCAAAAGGTTTGAATTTGATTGTTTGTTGATCACCTTGAAGGACTTCAGTATATCGACTTCGTGTCCTGTGTCAAGGAGATGTCTTGCGACAGCGCTGCTAAATGCTTTTAGTCCGTTTGATCTCAAACTGTTCGGAATATGTTCTTTGAATCGGACGTAGGCTCTCCTTTCTGTTCTACCAATGTAACTGCTTTGGCAGATACATGTAAATTTGTATACACAGTTGGTGGTAACATGAAAGGGATACCTGTCGACCTTTGATTGTGTCAAAGAACATGTCGTTTTGGACAGGACAATCAATTTAGCTGCAGGATATGTTTTTGTCAGTGCAGTTTTTAGTCTCATATTGATTGACCCTGTGACATTATCGCCTTTGAACTTGAGTTGAATAAAAACAGGTTTTTTATTTACTGTAGTTTCTTTGGGTATTTTATCTTCACGTTTTCCATATTTCTCAATGAATTTCAATGGGTATCCGTTATTTCTTAAACACTTTTTAACATTCATAATTTCCTCTTCTATTGTATCGGCAGTACATATTCTTTCTGTTCTATGAAACAGTGTTTTGACAAGTGCCTTTTTATAATTGATTGGACAAAAGCTGTTGAAATTGAGATAAATACCATTCCATGTGTCTTTCTTATAAACTGAGCGTTGAACTGTGCCATCCTTTCTTCGTTTTATCGCTATATCGAGGAAATGGAACATGTTTTCTTTTTCATGTTCCATAGTGAAATGAATATTTGGATGAGCTTCATTGAAAAACTTTAACAGATTTGTTGCATGTTGTTGATTATTACATAAGATGAATGTATCATCAACATACCTCGAATAATACATCATTTCATCAATCGCTCCTTTGAGCTTGGTTCTTTCGAGGTTAGCCATGAAAATGTCTGCTAGGACGGGGCCTAACGGACTTCCCATTGCTACACCATCGGTTTGTCGGTATATAGTATTGTTGAACTGGAACTGAACATCTTTTGTACACAAGAGTAATAATCGTTTGAATTCTCTTGCTGGTAGAGGTAGGATATCAGGATGTTGACAAATTATGTCACATTATGTTACATATATTCATCTTCATCACCCTCTGTTGTATAAGTATGTCAATATCTATAATAACGTTGAATTTCAAATATTTTAGGTTGTAAGCAGCTGATGAGAACCTAACGAAATAAAATGAATTCATTTTATTCTGCACCAACCTTTGTTCTTACTCTCTTTAAAATTATAAAGGGAACTATGTGTATGAAAGATGCATTCGTTGTTCCTATTCCTGAAGATCTTAAGTCTCACTATTCCTTCGTGTATGCCTTTTCATTTTGTCTTCATGGATTATATTCTCAATACAGTATTTTTTTACTAACACTGTTCCCAAGACTATTTTAACTCTCTTGGTATTCATCTTGTTAGTTTCATCTCGTTGCCCTGAAATGACAATCTGAGCTAAATCACACCAATGTTAGGCTCTATGTAGATTATGGCTAGTTGACTTTTCTTAAATATCGAATACTTCTAGTACCAAAATGAATCTGATCCCTAGCATTTTTGAAAATTAGTAGGCAATACAAATAGTTTTAGAATTTTAGTGAAATGAAACAAGCGACTCAGTGACCAAGTATAAGTTCCTATGCTAGACTATCGTTACAGTGTCCATATAAAGTATCAAGGAAAGGGCTAACATAGTACAACTACACACTAAACCACATATATGAAAATACCAGGTCTGATTTTAGTTAGTGTAGACAATATATTCATCTAAAAATAAGTTAATCAGTTAAACTAGCATTATTAATCATTATGCATAGTTCAATTTTATATTACTCAGTAACCAGTCTATCCATTGTATCAATATCAGTAATCATAGTAACAACTCATAATGAAAAAAAACCCAGTATAGTAACAAAAAATTTCAGTAACCTCAAATTTTGCTAGTTGTACTAAATGATGTCACAGTCTGTTAAATTTAAATTAGGTCATCATCCTAGTATTGAAAGTATGATGAAAAAACAAACATACAATACATTATTGTACATTAATTATTCGCATAATTAGTACTAATAAAAAAAATAGGTCTCATTTAATTTACATGCGTAACAGCTAAATCAGTTTTGGTCTTATTTTCAGATGCGGCTGTTTGTAGTAGATTTGTTAGTAAATTGCCTCGACCACCTGGAAATACTATGTCATCACTGACACCACAAACACCACCATGTTCATTATCATTAGGATTATGCTGTTGATTAAGATCACGTAGATTTTCTTCAGTTAAATGTTCTGTACGACGTAATGTGATGATTTGTACATTCGATGCACAGTATACCTTAGAAAAAAATAACAATTATAAGTGGTACAGATTGATATTCATATTTGGAAGAAACAGAGGTTTAACTATTCAGTTTTCATTTCTTTCTAACTAGGCGGTTTATAATGCAATAAAATATACTCACAAAGTAAAAGTATTTTTCATTCTATGGTATGTTATAGACTACTTATCATTATTATCACGATTTGTTTTACCGTTATTAGATTGACAAATTAATTTTAAATTTTATAAAGAAGGGTTATTATCTAGGCTATCGATATGAACATTACAAAATGATTAAATTTACTATAATGATAATCTCTGTTTAACATTATACAAGTCCTTACAATTCACCATTACTCATATGAATTTAATTACTGAAAGAAACAAATATTGTAGGAAGTACACTATCTTTACTAAGATATTAATACTCAAAGTTAATCAATTAACATGTCAGAGGTATCAACTCTACCTTATGCGAGATAGATGGACTGATTTTTGTTCCATTCGTAAATGTTTCTTATCATTCTGTGGATTAAACAACTTCAAAAATCAATGAAAAAATGTCACTACTATAACATGATCATGAGTTACATATATATTCATTTTACAGAAGAGGTAATACAATTTATAAGAATATATATATATATAAAAAAGTAATATCAAATCCACTCATAAATATTTGCAATAATAACACATAATATAGTAGAGATTTGATATACATTGAAAGACTGAACTTTCTCAATAGAAAACTTTTATAACAACTAATCATGTAAATGTATGTTCTATATAAATGTCTGCATTTCATCACGATACAATGATGAAATTAATGAAATTTAGACATAGTTATTAATTCATCTACATCATTTTGTACATATAACCTTAGTGTTTTTCTTTCTTTTTTTTAATTATTTTATTTTGTAACAGAAAATTTAATTCACATCATAAATGATATTTAAGTTATTAACAGAAAATCACATGGATGGGTATAAGGTAACTTATTTTTAAATAATACTACTAACACTTGGAAACAATCACATAATAGAATTATAAATTAACAATACAATCTTATTATGTTGTTTTTTTACGTTTATTTACTTCAGTTATAAAATTGATTGATATATGATAATATTTATAAATGAAATCAAACAAAAATACGCTTGTGTTAATGTCAAACTAATAAGTTGAGTTTATTGTAATGTAGTGAAAATTTCCATTTTTTTATATTTGGTAAATGAAGAATGAATGAATCGAGCTTTTAAGGTTATCCACCAAATTTTATCAAATTTGCTACATGATTTACGAGTTTGTTTTTTGTACATTGCTGAAAACATTGGTATCCATGTTCACAAACCAAACTTTTGCATTTAAAAAAAGTTTGTACAACTACTTTCGTTACTTTGACCATCGGTATAGGGGAGTTTGGAGTGGAATTTTGATAAAATATTTTCATATTTTTTCCACTGTTTGTATTTTACTTATTCTCAACATTCGTCTCGTGATTCTTACATAACTATTATTGTAATGTTATATGAAAATTAGCAACGGCCTAACACCTTTGTCACTAAAATCTTAATAAAACCCATTCTTGCTCATTCTGATAAATCTCTCAATGCTCCAGATAGAGTAGTATCTTACCAAAGTTTTATGAAACTGACTTTTTTTCTGTATATTTCATGAATAGTGTATGGGATTCAATTTAGATATCAATTAAACAAAACGTGAATTCACTATTTGAAAATTAGATTACTTTTTCTTAATAGTTCAAAATACGCCTAAGCTCCAAACTCTACAAATGCTGAATATTTGTTTTATAATTAATTTTTAATATTTAGATAATTAAGCTGGATAATTTTTTTATTTGTTCTACTAAAATTAATCGGTTGCTTTACTCACAATTCCTTTAATCGACTTCGTTTTAGTGATTCAATTATGCACAAACTACATACAAGTGTTAAATTTGGATTGTTATTTCAAATGCATTAGAAATACTTATTAGTTCGAAGAAACATTTATCAGTTATTTATATAAAATATATTGAATTAATAGGCAAATGAATAAAACAGAATTGATTATTAATTGCTCTTAATTTAACCTACTTGACAAGGATGATTGTTAATAGTTTCTTTACGATCAGATCGCCAACCTAAAATTCCCGATTTACTTCTATATGTATAATACAAACATACCAATAAGTATACATGTATTCATAACCAATAAAAAAATGTTTTAACTGGGGAAATTATGAAACAAAATAATAAAATATGAACTAAGTAGACAGAAACAGAGACAACCATTGATTAAAAGAAATATTTAAATGGAAAAACTCTATCAAGAACAAGTAACGAATGGTAGTCAAAATTTAGTCAACTAAAAATTATTGCACTCAATCGTTATTTATTAGATTATAAGTGAAATGTAGCAATATGGAAATCACTACAAGCATTATATTGGGAAATACTAAATAAGTATATAAATAATTCGATTATTTAATTTATCAAACAAGTAACTATCATTTCATATACAAACTCAGTAAAGCTTGTTTTGTAACGGTTAAAAATGTTGCTCGTATCTACATTGAAGGATCTAAATAAAATAGTATACAAATTTTTTGATAATTCATCATTTTAAATACGAACTTTCAAATCAATGAAGTACAAGTCCTTATAAGGTTGCATAATTATATGCTTGCGTCTTATTATTTTTTAGCTAGTAATCACTACAGAAACTAATATGGATTCATTCAACAAGAATACACGGTTTGTTTATTTAACCACATAAATCATAGTAGATAATTAAGAAAATTTACAGTAAATATATTTAGTGTACTTGTCTGAACAATGATTTTAAACATACTGAACTATTTCCATTCATCAATCCATACTATTTAAGATTAAATGAACTGTATTCTACATCAAACTATTCAGACAAATTAAAAAAAAACATTGCATGATATATATTTTCAAATCCTTGGTGTAGTTCATTATCTGAATACGGGATAATAAACTCAGACTTCAACTACACTTTTGTGACGGCTAGTAATACTATCCGATTGTCCAAACCGAAATTAAGTGAGATTCAAACCGCTGACCTACTGGTTAAAAGTCAAGCTATTATACGACTCTAAGTTTATTGACCTACTAGAAGATGGTCTGTGAATTTGTGCTACGAAAATATTTAAAAGTAATGTCTAACTAAATAAATTTTGACGATTTACTTAAATAATTCGCTGTATTTACATCTCTTACAGGGATTTAATATTGAACTAAAAACTTTTCGTCAGATACTTTTTTTATAAATATCTTCATTTCCCTTTACAATAAAATGTTTGCTTATTAATTAATATGGGAAAGTGCCGGACATGTTAATTTCAGATACGTATAAAGTGAATTGTTGAATACAAAGATCATTACAAATTAAACATCAATTTTTTGATCTATAAGCATATTTTATGGAAGATTTCGTATTCAGATGCAATTTTCAGATAACTGAACACTTTATTTTAGCTCTTGATTTGAGATGAAATCCGCTGGGAATTTACTTTGTTTATGAGCTGAATATTATGAGAAGAAAACAAATTCTGGAACCGCAAAGTGTACATCACATATCCGGTCATTTATGGGAATAGAAAGAACATTAGGAAGTGATGAGGTAATCCAATTATGAACAACAGGACGTCTAGTGCTTTTAGAGGTATGAGGTCGGTTTTCACTTCCCGATCGCGTAAACAGTGAAACGATATTTCTTGATGGACCTGAAGAAAAACTGGATTAGTTCTGATCGTACTGACGTAGTGGCGTGACTATGTTGTGAAAGAAACTGCTTGAAATCGATCACATGTGGCCTTTCTGTGAGAAATTTGTGATATGCTAGCTCTACGCTTCAAAAACCCTTACTAACAAGGACGGAAATCTGTGTATTGGTGGCGTGTGAAATTTTTAAAGCTGAACCTTTCTAACTTCTTTCTTTTGTTGCGAGAAAGCGAAATTGCTGCAAATGCTAGTTGCCTAAGGGAAACAACTTACGACCATCACTCCTCAGTACAGGCAGAAGTACGACCTCACCCTAGTTTTACCGTCCTGCAACTAACCTGACTGACATTACAAGGCTTAAAGGAAATATTGTTCCACCCAATATAACTTGATCAGGTCATTACGATGGGCCGGTTCAACTACCACTTCAAGCTACCAGCTATAGTCGGGTCTCACATAGCATCTGACTGACTGATCACTTATAAAAAATTCGTAAAATGTTATAAATATCTGAAGTTCCCGAACATTTTTCATTTTAAAGGAAACCGATTGGTAACCCAGTCATTGTATAAATCGATTGATCTAAATGATACAGCTCTAAGGATTTCGTCGAGTTTGACGATACACCTTGCTGACCAATAAAAATGAAAAAGTTTAGATTCTATGCTTTATTTACAGCAAAGCATATAACCAATACTAAAACACTACTTGAGTAAGATGTTTATATATATACACCCATACAAATTGATTTTATTTTGGATCTTTGTAAGCAATGGTTCGAAAGTTTAGATAACATGGCTTAGAATCATTTGAAATGGAGTAGGTGCATTCACTCTTTGTCTTCCTCAAATCTTAAGTTTCTAAACTATCTTATTATTTTCTATTTCACGAACCCATATTTTCTCGAATCTCCTATGTTGAATCTTTTTTCCTTTTACTAATACTGTTACTACTTTTAACACTCTAGAGTTTGAAAGTTTGTAATAAAATCGATAAGTAGCAAGTTATTATGAAGTTGACTTTGAATGAGACTTTAAAAAATAGGATGTTCGAAATCAAATTATAACAACTAACAGTACCATAATGAATTTTATATTTATCCCAAACTAATAGAAACCATATATTTTTAACTACATATTTTACTGGATTTGTGAATATTTTCTGTTAAAGATTTTGACTGTGACGTCACACTGACTGCGTATAGAACATCCATATGGACACACACATAATTAAAATAAGGATATCTTAAAGAAGTAATCAATCACAAGAGAAGCTGTTAGTCAGTCGACAATTCTATTGCCAAAGGAAAAAAAAGTATTTTCGGCTAATATATAAAAGTACCTGTTATATGACCAAGAGAACTCACTTCTCAAACTCTATTTTATCTGTATCCAAATATGTAACGAAAATAGGTTGAGTTAATTTGTTTGCAATAGTACTTTCCGAAGGTTCACGTACAAAGAGTTGGGCAGCAGCAGTAGCTGCAGCACCAGCACCACTTCCAGCACCTGGTGTGCTATCCATTCCATCGGACCGACTAAGTAAATTTACGTTATGCCGATAAATAGTTCTATCAGTGTGGTTTACTTCATCCATATATGCTCCAGATTCTAGATAAGCAGGCAAAAGTAATATGATAACATATCTTCTTGGATGTGTACACTAATTTCTATTTTACAAGACCTTAAACAATACAAGTGAAAAGCTTACATAACTCACTACATTATTTAAACTCAGCCGTGACCATAAAATACAAGGTTAAATGTTTTTTAGCATTCAAAAACATATATCTTCCTAAACACAAAACGTATTTGCATGAAACGTCTTAATTTCTCAGTGGATCAACATATTCTTTTCAGGAGTAAACGTGGCGATAATTCCACCAAAAAAATTATATGTAGAGTGAATATTGTTGTGCTTTTAATATCTGACTACATTTCGGTCATTATTACACTGACAGACAATCTGTGACTCTATATTAACTTAATCAACTGTTTAATAGTTTCTTTTCACAACATAATACTACTATTTTGTTCACAGTGAAGTTAGTAATGAGAAAGTCGAAATAGGTAATTGGTAACATCGTTTACATGTTTTAAACACATTTAACATACACTCTTTTGATAATTGCTCACAAATATAAAACAGAGAATCGCTCTATATCCAAATAAAGAGATCTATTTGACCTCGAAATTGAATATTCAACATAGAATGATAGACATCAATTTATAAAGCTTACTGGAACCAATATGTAACATGTGAAAATAATTGATATCATACCTCCGGCTCGAAACATATAGCTCAGATGACCACGAACCCATGATGCTGAGCCATTAAATCCCAGTAGATTCGTATCAATTCTAACATTTGATCCACATTTCCATACTCGACAAACATCACTTGGACACATACGCGATACAAGTGGTACTAAAACGAATTTAGGAAGCACATCGACAAGACGCTTTATAAATAAATAAATTTGCGACTTTAAGTGGAGTTTGAAGAAAAACAACTTCAGAAAAATGTACGTTTGGTTAGATATAATTCACATATTTCGAAACAAATGAACCCGTTTAGTCTTTTAAAAACCTCTCTAATAAAGTAAGCATCATGCAAACGTTTATCGAGTTGATTATGACTAAGTTGGAAACAAACTTGATTTCTAATGTAACTCATCTTGCCAAGCGCAGCTTCATGAGCTAGGTTTGGAAATACACATTTTGTGAGAGAGCTAGAGATACTGATTGGCTTGAAACTGTGACCTAATGGTCGAAAGTAGTGTGTCAATCACTAAGTCACATGACGATAAGTTCGGAAGTCAACAAGTAACAACTCTATTCATTGCGAATAAAAAACCGAACAATAAAAAACAATTCTCTATAAAAGACCTTCAGTTAAATCTCTAGTGCAAAAATCGCTGACTAAAGCAGATTTGAATACAAGGTTTATTTCATGATAAAATACTAATATCCCAAAATAAGTGAAACTAGTGTTGATTTTGACTGTTATTTGGTAGATCAATAGCGCTAATATTCAAGATTAGAAATAATCTAACATTAAGATATTTGTATTTAAATCTGATTATTCGGTCATAATTTTCAATAGGTTACTTGTAAGAGCACATGCACTGAAGCAGAAAAAATTCTGTTAACAAGTTAATCTCAATATTACAAATACCTATTAATAACATGTGCAACTACATTTACTAAGTCACAGTTTACAACAATAGTTTCCTTAGAAGTATTATAAATTCATCAAGCTTAAAAAGGTTAGCTACTGAAACGTTATTGATTAGCCGATACATATGTATACGATACAAAGTACCTCAACGGTTTCACCGAAATTTATAATGTGATGAGAATATAATAACTTACGCCAACTAGTGAACTCCCATTTCATTTCAATATAAAAATCGGGGGTTTCTCTGAGCTTCTGTAGTAAATCTGCAACTATAACAGCCTGATGACGGACAATCTGAGCATCTCTATGAACCAAGATTAGTTTAACAAGTTCAGGGTCTCCTGTTGCAATGGCCTCCTGTGCAGCTAAATTTTTATCGATAAAATCAAACTTCGAAACAAATACCTGTCCAGAATTTACTGTAGAAACGCAAGCGTTTGCACCATGGCGGAGTAAAACTCGTGCAGACTCCAAATGATCAAGTACAATGCATAACATTAATGGGGTTCTCCCATGAGGATCCAGTTTTTCTATATCATGCTAGTGAAAATGCATTTCGTCAAATTATGCATATTTGTACCTTTTTCTGGTGAAGTAGCTCATCCAAAGCCATATAATCATTATTCCAAACATGGTAATGCAGAGGGTATAGTACTTTTGGATCTTCCGTTGTCATTGTGTATTGTAAGAATTAACTAAAAAGAGAGTAGCATCAAAAATATTACGATTGAAGAAGGGTCGTTATAGAGCTTATTACTTTTTAAATCTAAACGACGATTCATTAAGATGTTATCAATCTTGCGTAGATAGCTTCTTCGATTCAAAGCATTTGTATGAACTGGAAAGTTTAGTGGTTGTCTAATACAATGTTTAAGTTTGTAACTCATCATTTATATACATTTTAATAAACGTACAGTGTCTTTAACAAAATATTTATCCTCCTATGATTCTGGTCACATTTATTATGTATCCATAAGACAATATTTGATGGCGAAAGCCTAAGTATGCAAGTGTGCATGAGAATGGAATGTAATCGGAACTATTACTTACGCCTGTCACCATTCGTGGAGGAGCATAGGTCACCCACCAGCATTCTCTATCCAACTATGTCCTGGTCAATCCTTTACTATTCATCCTCTTCACATCTGCTTCCGATTCCTGACAGTGTATTCCTTGGTCTTCCTGTTTTCCACTTCCCTTCAGGATCTCAAGTTATTGCTTGAGTCGTGATGCAGTTTGATGATTTCCTCAATGTGTGTTCTATCCATTTCTAGCATCTTTTCTTAATTTCCTTTCAGCTGGAAGTTATTTTGTTCTCTCACAGTAGGCTGGCGCTGATGGTATTCGATCAACAAACATTGAGAATCTTGCGTAGACGATTGTTTATACATACTCATACTTTTTGGTGATGGCTGAAGTGGTTCTCCAAGTTTACGCTCCGTACAGTAGAACTTTCTTGACGTTCGTATGGAAGATTCTGACCTTCATACCAGTTGACAGTTTTGAGTCCCATATAATCTTCAACTGTAGGAATGTGGCCCTTGCTTTGCCAATCCTCGCCTTTACGTCTGCATCGGATCCTCCCATCGGAACTGTTGGAGTTTAATAGCTCCATAGAAAAAGTCCACCATGTCACTCAATTTCGGTGATTATTCACTAAAAGTAGTAGAAAGGTCTAGCGTTGGTGTTCAAAATGTATTTGGTGACTGAGATTAATAGCTGGTGGCTAGAAATAGTAAATTGAGGGATAATTGGGTTGGGTTGGCATTTAATCGTAGACTGTGACTTCCGATATGAAATGCGAGAGGCAATCTAACTTATGGATTAAATCGTTATCAAATGCACGTCAGAATTACGAGCAACAATAATACTGCTGTACACACTATATTATTCCTGGACAAAGATGTATATTTGAAAAAAGGTACCTTCATAAATTATTTTTGCTCAACTATTATGCGTTTAAACTTATGAAATTTTAATTCGATTTATTTAAAATGTTTGTGCACTACATTTGGTGTCCCAATGTATCAGGGTTTCACGAGTTGTAAAGAAGAATAACAAACTTTGGTGGTACTGGAATATATATTATGCAGGATCAAATGCTCAAGTTCTAAAAATGTTGGGCTACAAACATGCTTATCAGATATGACCCTTCGAGTGAAAATACCGATAAGTAAACGCTAACACGGGAAAATCTGCGTTTTAAAGTGACTGAGCAAATGGTAATGATCAAGTGTTCACTAAACACATGAAACCAGAAGACGTAACCGCTAAAAATAAAATTGTTAGTCCAAGTCCCAGAGTAACAATGGTATTATTAGTATCAGTGGTAATCGAAAAGATTAGGCATAGATGACTAGGTTCAAGAAATATAAATTAGTGAAATGGAGAAAAATTATGAGGACTTCAGAGGTCTAGAATTTGCAGGAAAACAAAGAACGAATGTACCTGTGCCATTGCAAACAAATTTTGAGCCGCTTCATCTATAGTCTTTAAACATTGGTTACGATAGTCAAACGGACTCCAACCAGGTACTTTACACCAGTTTACATGGCTCAGTTCAATTATCAATAACTTCATGAACTGATGCCATGTTTTGGTTGGCAGCTCTTAACATTTTTTCGGCCTACTCCTACACGAGACAACATAGTCTATCGAAGTAGGCGATGGCTGAGGATATTTAATAAATGTCCCAACTACTTTAGTTGATAAACATTTACTGCCTTATTAATCAATTTACCATCCTTACAAAGTGCCCTATTTCTAACTCAGCTATTGCTTACTCAGTGGTCCTAAAATACACGAGGATGCTTCTAAGACACCTATGGTCGAATACTAGTAACCAACGAATGTTGTTTGTTCTTTATGGCTATATTTTACGGCCACAAAGCAGAACATAGTAAACTGATGAACAGTAAACTCTTCATTTGGTTGGTAGACGAATATCTCGCCTACACCAAAAGTGATGCAAGTTGGGAAATACTAATCGAGCTTTCTTGAGACAACAATCTGTCAATGCCGATGAGAACCTTAAGAGAAGTGAAGCGATCAACAAGCTCAACTACTTCATTCCCTATCGTAAATTCAGGCGATGACGCAAGACAATCCTGAAGCAACATTTTACATTCAGAGAGAGAAAATGAAATCACAAACGCGCCTGCATCGTTGCATAAGTTGGTCAGAAGACTACATTTGTCAGCGTTTCATTAAAAAGAACTATATCATATGTGTATACTAAGTCAACAAATAAGGGCATCAACCCCTGAAAAGTAAAACCACAAAAGTTTTGTCTCTAAAAGCATGCCTATGATGAAACTAAACAAAAGAGAGGAAAGCAGACAACACTGGCGAACACAACTTGAAGTTATAAATTCTGATGACAGTTTGCCATAATCACTGGCTCGATCAGTAATTTAAGTAGGAAGAAACCTTTGTATTTACTGGGCTTGAAGTTTTCTTTATAAGCAATACATTTACGAATGATGTCTTACAATCAACAGCTAATGCATTTTAACGGATTAGTTCAATGTACGCACCTTTAAAGTTATATCTTGAAATAATCAAAATATCCACACCATATTTTTTTCCTATATGACGTACAAAGCTTGAGGTCACATGACTATGTGAAAGCTGACAACAAACTTTAGTGCTGCCATGGTCCTTAGTCGCAACTACTTTTGTCTGTTTTTTATATTTAAAACCAAATTCAAAGATTAAACTTTCATGCTAAGATCTGACTAAGTTCTAGGTTTCAATCAAAGAAAGTTATCCCGCAAAAAACTCAGTTTTCTTGTTTGTATCTTCTACAGTGTAGTTTAGGACGGCTTATAAATGCTTCCCACTGGCCATAAAAAGCAGATTCGGTGAATGTACCAGCCTCATCAGTTATACGTTGACAACATACATCAACAACCATACTAAACACAAAGCTCAAAAATTAGAATATATATTCTATAATAGCTACTGAGAGACCGAGTTCTTAGTAAATAACAGTTGAATCTACCGGTAACGGCTGAAAAATCAGATTTATTACATCAAGGAAACTCAGGGCAGGTAGTATTGACTGAATAAAGAAATTAGTGAAAGCCAATATGCATTCAACAAGTGAAGGTTTTAGCACTTTAATCAAGCATCTGCACACCGAAATAATTTCAAAGTGATCGAAAAATGTTGAGTAGATTTTGACAGAGAAGAACCGAACGATAAATCATTTCCCGTTCGAGAAGAAATCGACATTACATGTAGCTTATGCATAAGCTCATTAATATGATGAACACAAAGTGTAAAGCATACATAACCTCAAACCTTGACTCTTTCTTGCAACTGGACCAGAAAAATATCAACGTGAATCATATTTGTTCTTCGAATGCAAGCTTATGAGCTTGGTTTTTTTTATAGTATACAGTCACGTCGTCTTAACAAACAAGTTTCAAAGACACACCGTAAGGGTCTACTCACATTCGCCACGAAAAAATGGTTAACTATAGTGAAATGCTTAGGTTCACCATAGTTATACATCTCATGTATGTATCTATATGGTAGCATATTCTCATCAATTTATATTGATCTATTTACGTTTTGTAATAACCGGTATATTTTACATAAAAGATACTGGGATATCGAGATCATTACTGAGAGTTGCGACAGGGCTTGTACTTAGAGGGTTTACTTGAACTTACAAGTAAATGTAACAAAAAACAGAACAGCAAAACATACCTGCTGGGAAACCTTTTGAAATCAGGGTTATAAGGCGGTTGATGAAATAGATGCAGTTAAACACAAACTGTATTAACGAACATTTCAGCGTCATCTATCTTAAATATTGTTATTCAGCTGTCTTTTGAAAGTGTTATCCATATTTCATACGTTTCTATGTATTAATGAATAATATAGGCAAAATGAATAAAGTTTAAACATTGTTATAGTAATACAATAATAATACAATATAAATAGATGAAGACATCTCTCAATCAAAATTTAAGTCTGTATACCTTTGTCTTTGCAATACACACATGAACTGACAATGTTTTTGCATTCATCACTGGTATTTTGTTTCGGGTAACACTGAAAGATATGGAGATACCGTGTGGCATTGCGTGTTGTCAATTACAGCACACTTCATAAGAAGAATACCAGTTAAGACAGATACGATGTTTGTTTTTTATCTGATGATTATGTCACATGTGAAACATAAATCATGCTACTGAATAGGGAATCTACTGAATATGATTGGGTCAGTGTTTTCTTTCGTATGAAAGTGAAATAATTAAGCAGTCGCATAGCAAGAATTCAAACAAACACATTTTAACTCTTATTAACTTGTAGATGATTATTTGAATATCAATTTTTTCTAGGGACATATCTTCGAAAACACTGCGCTTGCAGTTAATAAGTAATGATTCAATTTACATAATCAATGAAAGTCGACAGGAAATTTGCATACGTTAGATGAAGTTATTAAGAAGATTTGGTTCGTAAAGAGAGTAATATCAAAATTTTCTGTATACTGAAGTGCTGTTACAGAAGTTGGAGCAGATTGTAAGAGCCACTGATAATATCTGGTTGACTGTGATTACTATCTTTCACAAGTTACTCCTCGAAAAATTATATCTTAGTTATATGTGCTTTGACAGTTCTGATATGTTGTCAATGAAGTTTCATAGGGAAAATTTTCAT